CAAGGCCTGTGAGGACAGGGACTGTCCCGGGGCTTCCCCAGAGCACCCCAACGCAGGGCTTGGGGGCTGTTTCGCCATCGATCCCTGGGTGACCGCCGAGCGAGAGCCCGTTGCCCTGCCGGGCTTGTCCTTTCTGCAGAGGCCGCCCCTTCCCGACGGTGACTGCAGCCGCCCTGTGTGGATGCGAATCCCCAGCCCCCCGGAGCAGGAACCCCGGGCCTGGGGTCCCCCTAACCCCCTGGGGCCTCTAGGCTCCTGCCAACGCTGAGCTTGGGAGATGTGCCCTCGCCACCCACTCAAGCAGCCGCAGGGCCCGGAGGGCTGGAGTCCTGGCCGAGGTCTGAGACGGGTGCTCAGGAGGGGGGCCGTTGGTGCCAGACGCTGAGGTCGACTTCCCGGGGGGCTGGGGGTGCGGGAGGCCTGAGGACCCGGCGGTCTTCGAACCGCCATTTCCTGCCAGCCGCGATCACTGTTTGGGGGCGTCCGAGGTGGGAGTCAGCGCAGGCGGCAGAGCACCCCGGTTCCGCCCCCAGCAGTGTGGCCCGCGGTGCGTGGGAGACCAGCAGTGGGGACGGTGAGTGGGGGCCACCGGGGCGGGGCGGGGTCCCAGGGTGGGGAGGGGGGCCGCTGTGCTCCTGACTCCCCCACGCCTCGGCTGCAGGTACCCCGCGATGCTGTCGGGCGGCGCTGGGCCGCGGAAGGGCGGTGGGTGGTGGGCACCCTCACCATGGGCAGCGGGTGCCCCTGCCCCCCGAGGGGAGGGACCCGGCCGTGGGAGGGGCGCCCCGGGGTGGGACCAGCGGCGCCCCCAGGGCCGGCGCCCCGCCACCTCTGTCTGTCTCTCAGCTCCAAACAGGGCACAATGTGTTTCCCCAGCAGGTGACGGCAATGGTTTAAACCAGGGCCTATTCTCATGCCCGTCACTTAAAAACATGCCATAAACGGGGGTTTCCGTTTGTTCTTTCCATCCATGTTACTTGGAATTCCGCACCTGGCCGTGGGGGCTAAGACACGCTTGTTGCTGGCTGAATGGAAGGACGAACGGTGGGCCGGTTCTGGCAGGTCAGAGCCGCGTTTCGGATAGAGCTGCAGGACCGCCGGCCTCGGGCTCCCACGCCGGGCGCATTCTGGCGTCAGTCCCTCGCGAAGGTTGTTCTCTCTCCTGGAAATGTCTCGTGCTTTGGCTGTGCGGTGAACAGCTCCGAAACTCTGCAAAGATGTCACTTCCTGTGGAAAACCCTTTTCTTATCGGTCCTCATTCTAACTGTGTTTCTCTGTGCACCTTTTGCACCTGGGACATGCCTCATGTGTGGTAAATACGTTTGAACATACACGTTCCCCTGCACGGCTGTCGGGGGAGACCAGTGGCTTGTGCCTCCTGGCAACTCCAGCCTCTTACCTGGGGCCTGGCTGCCTGACACATACCAGGTACTCCGTCAATGTTCAATGTTCATGAACTTACGGGCCATCACTAGGACTTGTTTTCCAATCAGTAACTTCCGTCTAAGTGCCTAATGTGAGATGCGGTTGGAGGATAAAAACTTGGACCGAAATGTCTGTGTCTATCTCTTGTGAGTTGTGTAAATTCAGTCAAGTTATATAATCTCAGTTTCCTCAGCTGTAAAATGGGAACAATAACAGTATCTACATCCAGAGTTTGGGGGTAAATCAATTGACAGATGTGAAATTTGTAGCTCAAAGCCTGGCCTATAATAAGTGTTCAATAAATGTTCGCTTCTCTCATGTATCAGAAACAGTATTCTGAGAACTCTGGCTTTAGAGGTGGATAGTTTGACTTGGAGCCCTCGTTTTGCTGGTCATGTGCCTCTGGCCAGGTTGATAACTTGAATCTATTTCCTTACGGCAAAACGGGAATAATACTGGTATCGATCTCATGGGGTTAAGGGAAGGAGATGATGGGAAATCACTAGGACGTCCTTAGTGAGTGTCGTGCCGTTATTATTTCATGGTGCTTTAAACTTACCAGGGCTGACGTAAGTAAACGAATTTCTTGTGCCCCTCACAATAATTCCATGAGCTAGGACAGATGGCTTTCTGACCATTTGACAGGCGATGTGACTGGTGTGGGCACGGAGTGCTGGCCTAAATTCCTCAGCTACTTAGCAGGGGAGTCAGGAGCACGGGGCACATTTCCTACCTCCTAGGTCCATGTTCATTCCATGGACCAGGCAAGTCATTGCACGGAAAACAGTTCCTGAGACTTGACTGACTTAGAGGTAGAGGGGGAAGGGACGGGTGAAGGTGTGACATGCACCAGGAGTCAGGTGGCAGTATGCATGTTACCCAGTGGTGAATCGGGGGATTGCTATGCCTTTAAAACACAGAAGAGGGCACATTAGGAGGGGTTGCCTCACTTGGACACTTGACTACAGTGTCAGCCCCCAGAGCTTCATAATGAGGCTCAGTAGGGCTTTCTTGAGCCCTCTGGGTGGACAGCAGGGACTGAAGAAAGAACGGGCCCATGAAGGGGAGTAAGAGGGAAGCTTTAGGCAGCCGCTTTGCAGATTTGAAGGAAAGGAAATCATGGTCTCCCAGGTTACCAGTGACTGGGTTCAGAGTCTGACACTTGGAGTGCTTAAAAGAAGCACATCAGAGATGGCTAACGTAGCTCATTGGGTCGCTGGGCTAAAGGCACTCCAGCTTCACCTTTGTTCTTCCTGACAATTGTTTGCCTTACGATTGGTTGCCTAATACATGTTGATGTGGTTGAGTTAATTATAAGACCCATGAGAGGTTTAAAGATGCTTTTTGTTTTTACTTTTTCAATATAACAGTAAGGGCAGGAGCAGAGGTGAGGGAGTCAGGGAGCAGACGGTTCCTGCTCCTGTCCCCCTAGGTCGGTCTCACCTCCTCCTGGGGGCTCGTGCCCTCCTTTGTTACTGCCTCTGCCAACTCATCTTCTTCCCCTGGACAAGAAAGCATGGATGTCCACCAGTGTTCTGCTTTCAAATTGCTTGTTTTTAAATGCCAGGCACTGACTGCGTTAGGATGATTCTGATAAAGGCGCGGGAGGCTGTGGCTCCCCCTTTCCCCCAGTAGCCTAGCGGCTTGTGCCAAGCAGCAGGCCTTGTGTACGAAGTGGTGCGGGGTTCCTGGAGCCCAGCGAACCGCAGGGGAGGGGAGGTGGTAAGGCAGCTGTCAGCTAGCGCCAAGTGTCAGCCGGAAAATGGACTGATTTCTAGGTGCCAGCAGCCCTGGGTGGAAGGCAGTGGTAGCTGTAAGGTACCTAGTTCAGTGCCTGGCACAGAGCAAGTCATGGCTGAAATGTGGTGGTGGTTATTGCTAAGGCCTAATCTTGAGGGCCCTCCACTCCTGCTCCTGTCTAGGGGGTCTTGGGTGGTTTTCCTGGGGCATCCTTTGTGCGGGGTGGAGGAGAGGATGGCTGTCCTCTGCTCTTAGCACCAACAGCGTCGGCCGATCCCTCCCACTCCCTGGGTCTCCGGCTGCACACCTGTGTGCTGAGGGTGTTAGACTAGTGTGCGGGCTTTCATGGGGAGTCCACAGGCAGACTGTAGGGGACCTGGGTACCCCTTAACAGCATGACCAAAATTGTTCATATATGTATTTTGGGGAGCACTCTTGACTCCCACTTGTGAAGAACCCCAGTCCACTGAGGCTCCCCAATACCTCCAAAGGCTTAAATGTTCTGTGATAGCAGTTACTCAGTGTCCCAAGTCTGATAAGCATGCTCCTGGTGGGCCACACAATGATTGTAGGTGGTGCAAGCGTATGTGTTGTATTAATGGCTATATGATTATTTTAATGTTAGAAAAAAAATAACATTAAAACTGACATTTCATGATGTTAATTTTGGTGGAGGCTGAGTCTTGCTTTTAAAAATGGTGAGTTCAGTAAATGTTAAATGAGCAGTACTACTGGGGTTAGTGTCTCTATACCTGTCCTCACGACTCACTGTCTCTCATTTCCATCTAGTGAGTAGGAAACAGCTTGAGATGAGTGTTTTTCTTTTAAAGAGACACTTCCTTTTGGTTTGTATATTTATGAGAAATACCAGCTTTCAAGTGTAATTTGCTTTGGAGGAGAAGAATACAGTATAAGAACCATGTTTCAATTCTAAGCTACTCTCCATTTAGTAACAGTTTTTTGGTAGGAAACAACTACTTAGCGAACACAATTTCAGGAACATTGAAAGGTGGTTGATGCTTAAGTTTGAGGAACAGTGATCCGACCCCCACCTGATACAGACAGAGGAGCCGAGCCTCAGAGCAGGGGAGAGGAGGCCGTAAGGAGGTTGACAGCAAACTTAGGACAAAACCCCACTGGTCTGATACCACAATTTTCCGAGTTGGAGAACTTGATGACGACTCAGTGTATGGACGAGGCGTGAAGAGGAGAGGCCTGGGAAGAGGCTGACGTGGCCGTCCGCCTGCCGCTTCAACTCTGACATGCGCTTTTTCATGTCTCAATGTTCCTGAAATTGGGCTTCCTCTTACAACAATTGTGTTCGCTAAGTAGTTGTTTCCCTACCAAAAGAGCTGTTACTAAATGGAGCGTAGCTTAGAACTGAAACATGGTTCTTATACTGTATTCTTCTCCTCCAAAGCAAATTACACTTGAAAGCTGGTACTTCTTAAAAATATACAAACCGAAAGGAAATGTCTCTTTAAAAGAAAAACACTCATCTCAAGCTGCTACCTATTCACTAGATGGAAATGAGAGACAGTGAGTCGTCAGGACAGGTATAGAGACACTAACCCCAGTCCCAGCTCTCCAGGTACCGCCCACCGCCTCCGGAGCCTCTGCTTCCAATTTGCAAGTCCTTTGAAGTCACTTGGGCTCTTTCTGGAGGTCTGAGGCCCAGACAAGGGTGGAGGCTGAACTAGACCTCCTCGGTTCAAGCAGACTTCACTTCAGTGTCAAAGCCTCTCCATCCCTCCCTGTTCCGTTTTGCAGGAGAGCTCGACAGTCCGTTTTTCCAGATGGTCATAAGCCCAGGCTGGGTTAGAAGCACTTGACCGAACTTTACAAATCAGCCTTTTTATTGGCCATTTTTTGTTCTGGCAACAATGGGGATTGACGGATTGTTACTTTTGGTTACCCAGCCCAGGAAGAGGGAGGGGGGCTGCCTAGGAGAAACACCCAGAAAGAACAGACCAGCCTTTCTCTGGGAGCCAGGGGTGGGGCCGTGGCTTCGTCTAGAGTGCCAGATAATAAACAACCGGGACTCGGTCTTTAAAGTCAGTGGAATAAATAAGCTGGAAAAGGTTGGAGAGAAAAAGCCAACCAACGTGTAAGCAGAGGATTATTTGGAGCCACTCGGAATGACAAAAAGCGGGAGTAACAAAGCAGCAGATGGAATGTGGCCCCACTTGGTCCTGCCAAGCCAGCTCTGAGAAGCACTGTGTAGAAGAAGGGTTCTCTTTAGGGCCCCTGAAGGGTTCAGAGTGTTTCCAGCCAAATTCTCAGGCTGTTTCCATGGTGCTTACAAAGTAGTAGAGCCGTGTTGCTGTGTCCCTTCCTTCTCAACCTGCGTCTTTTTGCAGCCTCGTGAAATAAATCTCTGGCTCAAATGAAATTGTTGAAAATGGAAGAAAATAAAAAGGGCTGTAGGAGCAGGAGATGCTAACTAGTTCTGATTTTTCACAAGACAAGGAGAATTTCTCTAAGAGTAAACGGTGTTTATTTTTTGTTGATTTTTTCCAATCAAATGGAATTGCTTAATTAAAAAAAAACTCATCTCTTTTCTCTTTAAATACTACAGACAACCTCATTTTATCTCAGTAGACACCTAGAAACAAAACACTGGACCCACCAGAGAAAACGGCAATAAAAGCATCAGAGATTCAAGCCAACTATGGAAGAACCACTGTTAGCTGGCAGCTCTCCATTCTAAGCAGAAGTGTCTGGGAACCTATTGGGTTTGACAGAAGTTTTTTAGAAATGGGGCTTTGGGAAAGTTGGACCCCTTGAACTCTACTCCAGTTATTTCCTGCATAGGGAAATTAATGTCAATGCATCAAATGAAGACCCAAAGAAACATGTAAAAACGTGTTTGACTAGTATTCAGTATGTGAGATTATTAAGTGATAACTTGTCCTTCTAGTTAACCTTGTCCTGGAATATATATAGGTTATTTGTGGCCGCCACCGCTATGATATTTTCTGAAGGATGCCAAGCTGTGTGCAGGATCTTTTTGCTGAAGTCCAGACTGTCAACGGTGATCTCGTCTTTTCTCCGCTTGCCCCCCACGCACACTTTTCGGGGTTTTAGGATAGCCCGGGGTTTGCTGTTTTCCCTCGAGGCCTCAAGGGTAACATCGCGCTTAGTGTTGCGGTCAAACATCCTGAAGAAGTTGTTGTAGGAGCCGGTCATGATGACACTGCAAGACAGGAAACAGAGTGACGGAGGGCCGGGGACAGAGGCAGTGACGGAGCCCTAATTTTTCCGGAGTTCTTACTGCTGGTGGATGGATCCCGTTTGGTTCTCGGGCCCAGGGAAGGAGCCTGGAGGCTTCAAGGAACCGCATCAGGCTTGTGAGGCTGGAGCTACATGATCAAAGTGGGCGCACATCTGAAAACAGGGAATTGCTGTGCACATTGAAGGCACAGCTGCTGGGGGGCTCCGGGCTGCCCGGCCTCCCAGGCGTTCTGGAATCGGCAGAGCACGCTGGCCCGTGCGTGTCCTTCCCTCTGCTAAGAAGTATCTCCAAGTCCAGCCTATTCTGAAAACCTGCTTAGAAATGGATGTCGCCATGGTCTCACTCGTGAAGAGAGCAAATCTGAATTTTAAAAGGGCCGGGATGGGGAACTAAGACTTTGTAGCGGACTGACAGATGATTTCTACATTTTCGTGAGAGTTCTCCACTCTCGGGCATATCTCCCACTGAGCGAGGGCAGTGAATGCCAGAAGCCTTCCAGAAGCGAGGGACTGACTCTTCCAGGTGACAGTTGGGACCTGGGGGACAGGCTGAGGGGGCGGTGATGCTGTTCACGTGACCTTCCATGCTGGTGGCCCCTGGGTGATGGTCCGGCTGGCTGGTGAGGAAGGGGCAGCACAGTGTCCCCTCTGTGTTCACACGACTTGGGTGTGTGGAGAGGGGAAGGGAAGCTGGCTGACTGGGCCACAGTCGGGGGTAACTTTTGGGGTGTTTCATCAGCTGTGCCCGGCAAACTGATGCAGAGTCAGATGTGGTTTCTGGCCAGGATACGGGCACTGTGGCGCGTGTATCTCTGCAGTGAGTGAGCCGTGTCGCCTTGTAGGCGGGGTGCTCAGGGCTTTAACCCCAGATCTTGTTCCAGCTTCGATCATTCCTAGGGTTTTACACACTAGGAAAAGTGAGTAATGTGCCCAGTGTCACACTGCCAGTGAGTGTCCCACATCTGCTTTCTCCACCATGACCCAACTTGCAATTTTGTTTTTTACTGAAGTACAGTTGATACACAATCTTACACTGATTTCGAGTATACAATGCAAGTGGTTCAGCAGTTACCCTCGTATCAAATCCTCACTGCCCCCCCACAATGCAGTTACTACCTGGACCCCACTTGTTTTTACACAGAGAAATCTTGACCTAATCTGAGCCAAGAGTGAAACTCCCTTGGTTATGGAAAGAAACTGTATGTCATGGAAAGAATGTTGATTCTGGGATTGAACCTCAGGATTTCTTCTTCTTGTCTCTGCTACTTATTAGCTTATGCACCGAGGCAGGTTACTTTACTTACAAAGCCTCAGTTTCCTCAGTTGTAAAGTGGGGATGATGGAAACGATGTTGTCAGACTGCGGTCAGGATTAAATAGTGTGATGTGTGTGTGACGGTGCCTAACGGGGTAGGTTTTGGTTCTAGGTTAAGATAGAGGGGAAATTGGAAGAACAGCAGCAAATAAAAACAATGTATTAATAATAAGCAATGGGTCAGTGAATAAATTATTGAGGTGGATATAAGCAATGGGCTGGTCTCTCCCTGGGAGCTTCGGCTCACATGTCACAGAGCTTTGCTCGCACTTCCCTCGGCTCCACACTGACTGCGCAGGGTGACTGGGGTCCCCCGCTGCGGATTCCTCGAGGCCTGCTAAGTGGGAGGCTTATTTTGGTTCACTGGTCAAGAAAGCCAAACCCTAATCAGAGCGCGACAGCTTGTGGACTAACAGCTTGCGTCGCCACGTGCCCTGCCACGAGGGCACCTCTGTGCTCCCCAGGCTGCTGTGGATGAAGGGGGCCCCGAGGAACTAAATCAGCCCCCGGTAGCCCGTACTTTGTTCTCCTGGAAGTCAGAGAATCATCTGTTTTTGTCAAACTACAAATGAACTACTGGGAGGTAATATGAGGCATTGTTGAGCTCAAAGGCCTTAAAACAGTAATAAATCACTTTGAGGGAATGTGGTAAATGAGGCCAACTAGAACGCAGCTAATGAACCAGCGGGGCCCTTGCCCAGGTCTACACTAGCAGCTTGAAAGGATAGTTTTCAATCTAAAAGTATGCTTTGCAATAATCTCAACTACTCAAGCTGGAATCTGCTGATGGACTACTAGCGATCTTCATTTTAGACACGTTGACCTAACTCTGGGGGTGCATGTAGGACAGACAGCATTTTCTCATTGATGTTGCATGGCTACCCGTGCTAGTCCTGAAAGACGATCCCCCCCCATCCCTCCCCTTGTCCCAGGCCTGACCCCAGGGTCATCCAGAGACCTCGGGCCTGATCGCTGACCTCCTTTTGGCCGCACCCCACCTAGAAGGAGCCTGCCCAGGGCCCCTGCAAGGGGAGGGCCCACCTGTGGGAAGTTCCCTGGCCACAGAGCCTTTCTTACCTGTCTGACCCATTCCACACACATTCAAATTTATCAAAAATGCAGTCATTTTCGTAGAGGGAGCACAACTTGCTGCGGAGGTAGTCATGGACCTGGTGGGGGGAAACACATCAGAGGGCTGGTTATTATTTTGAAAATGATTATTTCTGTGACTTTCTCCTCTTTGATGTAAGCGGTTAATTCTCTCAGTATACACGGCCTGGAATCCCAGCCCTGGGTCTGCCCCCAGGGTCAGCCTCTCCTGCTGTGGGACGTGGAGAAGAGCTGGTGAGCTGCTCACAGGGCCAGCGCGGGTCAGCCACGCGTGCTCAGGCAGACAGGGGCAGCGGGCGGGGCCCACCGAGGGCCAAGTCGGTTTGCTGACAGGCGTTAGAAAGCACCATTCATTCTATTACTGCGCAGATGTGTATTGAATGCTGCTATGTGCTTGGGATAAAGCGGTGAACAGAATTCATTCCCGTGCGGGGGCAGGTGACCCCTTCGTGAGGGCCCTTAATTCTGAGTAAGCAGAGAAGATATCACAGGGTCACCGAGCCTGCTGTGTGGTGACGTGATAAGGATTCAGGGGCAAAGGCAGGGAGACCAGCCACATGACCTGGGCGATAGGTGACGGCTGGGGCCAGGGGGCAGCAGCGGTGGGCAGCAGGCAGACGCCCATGTGTTTGGAAGGAGAGCTGAGAGGACTGGGGGGTGCAGCCGCTGTGAAGCGTGGGGCCCAAACCGGCTCCTGCATCTTCCTCTCGAGCCAGGGCAGGGATGGGGTGGCCGCGTTCAGGTTCAGGTGCGCTCATGTGGAGACGTCTACGCCGGTGCTGCTGTGCAGCGGGCGCTGACGTGCAGGGTGCCACCCCAGAGGAAGCGGTAGTTCCCTCCTGTCTCTATTCTTTCACTGAGGCGGGAAGCAAGGCCATCGTCTGAGCGTGAGGAGGGGGCGGGCGCTGGCAGCGCAGGGCTGCGGGGGGCTCTGAGGGCCCGTGGAGTCGCTGGGTGAGAACATCAAGGGAGACTGGGCAGCATGGGCATTTGTCTCCAGCGACGTTTAGATGCCAAACAGGCAGATGAATAAGACTCAGAGGACAGTAACCTGGGTTCAGTTTTCTCGGAGGGTGAGCTCCACTGAACCCCCCAGTAGGGACTGGTAATGGTGGGCGCACACAATGTGCTAGATTACAAGCCAGGAGCTTTACCCATACAATCTCATCTGAGGATGAAGGTACTATCACTCTCTCCTTTTTATGAGGCATGAATACAGGGTATGATGTCGTTTGTCCCAGACCACACAGGAAAGGCAATGCCAGAACGGGAACTGAACCCCGGGATTCAGGTCCTGGGGCACACGCGGCTCTCGCAGCCTGCCTCCCTCGCTTGCTCCACCACATGAGCCTCAGCCTATGTGGGGGTCTCGGCACAAGGCAGGAGCCGCGGTAATGAACTGAAGTGGGGCCAGAGGGAGACGGAGTCGGGTGAAGACAGAGGGATGTCACGAAAAGCGTTCACTTTGTTTGGATTAAGAGTGATGGTTCTGTCCCCCTTTTTGTGCAGCTGGGGCCCCTCCTGAGGGTGATTCTTGACTCCAGAGTTCTGCTGGACATGTGCTCAGAGGCCCAGCTGCGTGCTTAGTACTGGGCCAAGGAATGAGGTCAGGTTTATCTCATGTGCCATTAGATGTTTTGGGTATTTGAGAGCTGAGATATTTGGACAGTGCAAATTAATTTTCTCCGCCTTTAATCTCTTGTTCCCAGACAGTTGTGGGCTCGGTCAGGATACCTGCTCAGGGCAACAGGTCTACAGCAGGGCTTTGGGAGAAAAGGGGAGGCAGGGGCAGGGCTTATGTCCTGGGCTCGGCAGCTCTGCTGTCAATGGGCTCACTGTCCTGCCCTCCTCTCCTGCCACCCTTTGGGCACACTGGAAGCGGCTCAGGTCTGGTCTAGAGCGCCATTTGTTTGTAAGGGTGAAGATCTAAAAAGAGGGCTGATTCTTGGTCCAGAGAGTAAGCTTTTGTGCTTTGTGGGCCATATGGCTGTTGTCAGAACTGCTCAGCTTTACCTTTGTGATGCAGAAGCAGCCATACAGGGCACAGAGACAAACGAGTGGGGGTTGGGTTCCAATGAACTTTATTTAAAAGACAGGTGCAGAGCTGACCTGGCCTCTGGGTCAGCGTGGGCCCGTCCTGGTCTTTCCCTGTTCTTGTCTTTATCATTGACACCTGCTCCGGTACCCCATGCACTAGCAGGAGGCCAGGCTGGGGCTTCTGAGGGGCAAGGATGCCGAGCTGGGAATCGGCCCAGTGGGCAATGAAAGGCAGATTTGCCATTCTAGTAGTCCAGCGCTCCTATTTTTTGCAAGAAAAAGATGAGCAAAATAGATCCTTATTTTTAGCTCCATCTCCCACTACTCCTTCGTATTCTCCGGCATGGAACACTTTTAAGGCCTGGCATAGGCATGCGTGTTCTGAGGAGAAACCAGTTCTGAGAACACTCGGTTAAACAGGTTTCTATGATGCAGGACTTCTCAGAGTCTGCCCATGGTCAAGAAATTGTAAAATTATGCGGGGGCAGGTGACCCCTTCGTGAGGGCCCTTAATTCTGAGTAAGCAGAGAAGATATCACAGGGTCACCGAGCCTGCTGTGTGGTGACGTGATAAGGATTCAGGGGCAAAGGCAGGGAGACCAGCCACATGACCTGGGCGATAGGTGACGGCTGGGGCCTGGGGGCAGCAGCGGTGGGCAGCAGGCAGACGCCCATGTGTTTGGAAGGAGAGCTGAGAGGACTGGGGGGTGCAGCCGCTGTGAGGCGTGGGGCCCAAACCGGCTCCTGCATCTTCCTCTCGAGCCAGGGCAGGGATGGGGTGGCCGCGTTCAGGTTCAGGTGCGCTCATGTGGAGACGTCTACGCCGGTGCTGCTGTGCAGCGGGCGCTGACGTGCAGGGTGCCACCCCAGAGGAAGCGGTAGTTCCCTCCTGTCTCTATTCTTTCACTGAGGCGGGAAGCAAGGCCATCGTCTGAGCGTGAGGAGGGGGCGGGCGCTGGCAGCGCAGGGCTGCGGGGGGCTCTGAGGGCCCGTGGAGTCGCTGGGTGAGAACATCAAGGGAGACTGGGCAGCATGGGCATTTTTCTCCAGCGACGTTTAGATGCCAAACAGGCAGATGAATAAGACTCAGAGGACAGTAACCTGGGTTCAGTTTTCTCGGAGGGTGAGCTCCACTGAACCCCCCAGTAGGGACTGGTAATAATGGTGGGCGCACACAATGTGCTAGATTACAAGCCAGGAGCTTTACCCATACAATCTCATCTGAGGATGAAGGTACTATCACTCTCTCCTTTTTATGAGGCATGAATACAGGGTATGATGTCGTTTGTCCCAGACCACACA